CGAGCAAAGACGCACTGCATTGACTGAGATGAAGGCCATTCCTGAATATTCCTACCGCTACACTGGTCTGCCCATCATCTCTCCGGCTAACGCCATCGAGTTCATGCAGCAGGTTAAGTCGTCTGGAGCACCAGCAACCGTGATCAGCTTGTTCTCAGGCTCTGGTCGGTTGCTGCTCACTCTGATGAGCGACCCACATCACCTTCTTGGCCTTCCTCCTATAGATCTTCGGCATGGTTGGAACATTGGCCAGAAACAACACCAGCAACTGATTGACCAGCTGTACGACCAATTTAAGCCTTCCGTCACCATTGCTGAACCACGTTGCAAGCATTGGTCCAAGAGCGGCAATCGCAGAGATCCAGTATTGACACAAAGCCTTCGAGAAGAAGAGCTACCAACACTTCGCTACCTCTCCAAGAGAATTGCGGCAGAAGTGAACACAGGCCATTTTGGCCTCCTCGAAAATCCCAAAGGGTCAGCTATCTGGTGGGACTCTCCTCTCGCCAGCTTGGAATGGCACAATTGCATGAGGCACTACAACACTTGTCAATGCCACTTCATGAAGGGAATCCCAGATGGAGAGAGACACAAGAAGGAAACCAGCTTGCTGACCAACGCGAAACTCAAGAATAGCATCGCACACTGTCATTGCACCCAAGGCCACATCCAGCTACAGGGCACCGACACACAGAACCATGTGAGCAGAACAGCAGCAGCAGCTCTGTTTCCATACCGGTTTTGTCAAGCACTGAGCTCCGACATTGTCCACAACCTGAGCTGCAAAGAACACCGAAGCAAGAAGCAGCATGGCTCAGCAGTCAAGAGCATGGGTGCAGAAGATGTTGACCACGCAGCCCGGTCTGGGCCGCACCTTCGTCGCCACAGAGGCTTAAAAACAGATATATCAGAAAGCGCGCAGAAGATGTTGACGGTGCGCCCCGGTCGGGGCAAAATTTCCGACATCACGGGGGCTCACAAACCTGTGATGGTTCATCTTCCTCTGCAATATCAACCTTTGCAGCACTCCCTCGGAGCTTTGAGGACATTCAAGCCTCTTCCCTGCGCTTCGATGGACACTACATCATCCTTCCGCCAGAAAAGAAAGATGATCTCAAACGATGTCTTGGCGGTCTTCTCGAGATTGTCAGCGACAACATCAAAGGAAGAGGAGCTCTGGAGCAGATCTATCCTTTCACTACGTCACAGAAGATGAACTACCATGAAGGCATCCTCTTTCTGATTGAAACCTTGAAGGTGAATTTCCTCACTCGCTATACCTATCAAAGCCGAAACCTCAGCAAGACCATCAAGTTCTCTGGTCAAGACTCTGTCCTGAGTCTTGCCCGCAACGCCAACTTCTTTGTCATCCTGATTCAATTGTTCGACAACTGCGTGACTATCTTTGTGCAGACCTTCCACACACTGGAACGATTGGACACTTACTATTCCTGGGAGGCAGCAGGACTTCTTCTCCTACTGGGTGAGATCACTCTGGCAGGTCGCAACGCCATCTCGAGGCCTCGCCTGTCAACACCAACTCCAGACACCCGATGGAAAGAAGCTGACCGACCAGTGCGAACCAGATCGGAACAACTTGCACCACAACCAGACGAAGCAGATGAACATATCAGAGCCAATGGCGATCGCATGAAGAGCTTCAAGCCTAGCCAGGACTTCAAACAACGTCCACAAAAGCTCATTCATGCCTCAAAGGAAGAACGCCATCGACTCCTACAAGGTCTACATGAAAGGCTATGGCACTGTGGTCCACAAGACATGCTTCGCTTTCTCACGGCACTGGTTCTGCCTCGAGAGGTGATCATGCAGGGCGTATCTGTCTGTCAAGACTGCAAAGAATGTCGTCAGTATGCCACCAAGATGGCCAGACCTCTGATTAAGTCTGACGTCGCTCTGTACTTCAACGAGGAAGTCTTTCTGGACTTATTCTTTCTCTGGGGAGAACCCTTTGTTCTGATCATTGACGCAGCAATCAAATGGAAGACTGGAGCACTTCTCCCTGATCGCAAGCCTATGGCTCTCATCGAAGCTCTTCGACGTGAATGGATTCGACTGTTTGGACCTCCAAGTCGCATAGTGTCTGACCAAGAAGGCTCTATGACCAGCTACGAAGTGCAGAACTACCTGGAGAAGTTAGGCATCACTCGTTGCCTTGCTCTCACACAAAAGGCCTTGTTGAACGACACATCGGCCTGGTCAAGCTTTCGATGCTCAAGATGAAGGCAGCTCAGACTCGAGAAGGAGTTGTCGTGTCTCACAATGACATCTGTCAGGAAGTGTGCATGGCACAAAATCTGATGCTGGAATACAATGGTCAGACTCCTCAAACAGCTCTCACGGGTTTCCAGTCGAAAGAGCTCTGGAACCTGGAGACCGACAACATACAAGCTACAGAATCAGCTCTTGATCTCAAGCCAGATGTGGCAGAGTTGGCCATCCGCACTCGTATGCTTGCAAAACAGTGCATTCTCCAATCCATCGTTGAAGAGCGCCTGGCCTTAGCTCGCAAGATGAAACAACAGAAACATCCTCCAAGTCTCCTGGTTCCAGGCATGCTGGTGTGGACGTCTATCGTTCTCCAGCAGTGAAACGTGAGCTAGCTGGATGGCACGGTCCTGGAGAATTGCTGTCTATACAACGACATGCAGGCGCCGCAATTGTCCTTCTTCATGGACAACCTCTCATGTCTCCTTTGAACAGCATCCGACGGCACGTTCCTCTGGGCTTCTATGTTCAGGAACACTTGCATTCTCTCAATGACGACACTCCTGACGAGTTCTACTGCAACTATGAAGAGGTTAAGAACTACCAGCTCCAATTCTATCACAACCAAAGCAACAGAAACTACATCACTGGACAGCACACTCATATGTCCACCATCATGGATCTCGTTGAGGGAGAATCACATGGACGCCTGTTCTGGATTGGTTGGCGCTTGAATGACAAAGGTACTCTGGAAGCTCTTCCTGATGAGGAATCAGTCTCAAAGCACCCAATTCTTCTTCATGGCAACCATCTTCGACTACAAGATCTCATCGGCACCTTGCATGGTGTGCTCTTTGGCCATGGTCTGAAAAGAATACCAGTTCCTCGAGGACATCGGCAAGGACTACTGCTACGCTGGAAGAACAACTTGAGGAAGCACTACACCATGGAGCAAAGGAGGCTCAATCAGACCACATCCTTTGCATCTTCTCAAGTGTTGTCATGGAACACTCTCTACTTCTACAGCTATGTGCAGCCAGAGACTGATCCAGAACCTCCACTGCGATTGGATACCATGGACTGGGACGACGTCTCCAGCATCGATCCATCTGCGCGACCTTCATCAGCTCCAGACATGAGCATTTTTGGTCCGCCAGGTTTGGATCCCATTGATGAGGAAGGAGAACAATCAACTGATCTGGATCAAGCTCCGCCACCATCAGGAGCACCTCCTGGCTTTCCACCAGGTCTTCCTCCGGCAGTACCACCACATAGCGCTCCACAATCCACGACCGGAATGGATGAGTCCATGCGTCCACCAGAAGAAATCATTGCAGATCCTCCTCCAGACGATCCTGGTCCACTACAACCTCCAATGACTGCTACTGCTGGCAGTCAACCACCAGACTCACCTGATCTACCACAACTCAAACTTCAGGTACCACGTTCTCCAGGGCATTTGCGTGTTGCTTGCAGAGGACAAAGTGTCATCGCTTCGTTCGGATAAGAATGATTTCTTGGAAGGCGAACAAGTCAAGAATCTTGGAGCTCTCGGTGTGCAGCAGTACCAAGGCCAAGCGTATCAGTCATTGCACCAGTCATGCGGAAACGAATGCATGTTCTCGAGCTATCCCGGTAGCTGAACTTGTGTCTCTTCGCATCTCCGAGCCAGAAATGAAGTTGTACGCCGATCCAGAGGAGATGACTCCCATGCGACTGCTACATCTCATAGAAGGCAAGAAGCCTTGGATCCCTATCGACTGTTTGATCGATTGTATGGATTTGTGGGAGTTGAGTTGTGGTCGCAAAGGCATTCCTCAAGACAAGAGTCAACGATTGGGAGTTCTTGCAATCAGAGAGGAACGTCGGAGTGAGAGGATCAGACGATTCTTTCATGTGACAACGCACTACATGTTGTGTGACTTGCTCACGAAATATTCCGGCTACTTCAGCAAGTCTTTGCAAGAGCTTCTCACATGTGGTTGTTGGACTGTCGATGGAAAGCTCAGAGTTCGCCATAAGTTTGGCCAGTCAGCAGAGTGGGCCTGAGGTCAAAATCCTTGTTTGGTGTCGTGACAACCGGCAAATCTCTCGTTCGACGAAGAGAAGAGATACCAGACTTGGATTGTGTTCTCAGGTTCACGTTCGTCTCACTAAGGATCCACTAAGGTACGTCTCACCGCGTTGAATTGGCTCAAGGTTTGTAAAAGGCACGCGCCTCAATTTATCGGATCACTCGATCGATCGCTGTTGAAACCTTCCGGTTCACACACACGTGTACACACACTTTCGTTGTTCTCGGATTCGACTTCCGTCTTTTCCGTCTCCCTACCAGATTCCAAATCCCTGATCCCTTCCCATCTGTGATATTAGCTTCGTTGCGTGCAGTAGATCACAGATGCTTCACGCCCTGCTAATGGTTGGACCAAACGGTGGGGAACCCCTCAAAACGGGGTGTAACACACACGCACACACACACACACACGCCGTGGTGCGGTTTTTTTGCTCGAGCTAGTCCGCCTGCAGTTTGCGCAGGCAGAAACCCATACAAAAACTTGTGTTTAATGTTGGCAGGCGGTGTTTGGCCCGAAGCTGGTCACAAACAAGAACGGGTTGCCCCCCTCCATTGGTGAAAGAAAAGTGAACAATTTGTTCCCGCAACGGTTTGGGAATGCAAATGCGGGCTGCCAGGAATGGGCGTGGTTGGGTGAGTTGCTTACAGTTTTGGAATGCGTAGGGCAGTTCCTCAGAAGGGCGTTGCTTCGCATTTCCACAGGCAGTGTTCCTTGGCACAGCCCTGCAACGATGTAAGATGCTGGATAGCCATGGCGTTGATGATCTCCCGGCACCCCGGGCACCTGGTGACACCAATGCGGAGGTCAGATAATGATGCAATTTCATGACCACTCGAAACAGGTCATGTTTCCGTGTACGCTCTGCAGGTTTTACCCGCCAAGAAAACGAAGGCCAAAGTGCAAAAAGAGGTGGAAGAAGAAAAACCAATGAGCAAACGGAAAAGAAGGAAACTGGATGCTTGGATGCATTAGCGAAACCAGTGAAACTACTGTATACAAATATAAAGGATTTCAACGGGCTAAGGATATGTGTTTTTACTTGACACGTGTGTTTTTCGGACGCTTTCTGAGGAGCAGCTGGCGCAAAAAAATGCCAGCAAAGAAGTTCGTGCTGAAGTATTGGAACAGCTCAAGGCTTGGCATTGTGTTATGCAAAACATGTTTGGCGTTTTTTCCAATTGTCAAATAATAATCATTTGCCCAGCCCTAGTGCCTCAATGGAGGCGGTGAAACTCACACCGGATCAAGCTGAACTATTGAAGGCATCGCAAAGCACGAGGCCGTTTTAGTGAGACAAATAGGATGATGGGGAGAGGGAGTGCTCAATGGGGGGCCTGCGGACATGAAGGCTTTCAAAGCGCGAGCAGAAGGCAATGGCACAACGTCGTGCTCAACTGGGCATTCCATTGACTTCTGACATGAAGGCGCTTTTGATAACTTTTGTCCAATTTAGTTTCTTATGGATGCTTCCATGTTTGCGACTTTTGGTAGTGACCGCATATCAGGAGACCTTGCGGCGAAGACCTCGCCAGCTCAAACCCAAAGTCGAAAATGATGAGGACAAAACAATCAATTCCATGTTGGTTTAGGAGCAGAACGTTGTGATGGCGCCATTGGTGCCCACATTGTCCAATTTCACTCGTCGTTGGCGGAATCTTTTTGTGGTAGTTTTCGTATGAATGCTTTGTCCCTCGCATCTCGTTTTTGAGAGTGTTGCCACAAATAGCGGGCAGGTGGGAGACATCCTTGTGGTTTGGGAGGTTCCTTTTTTGTCCTTTGTTGATTCCCAGTCCTTTCTGAGTTTGCCTTCTAGTTTGCTAGTCATTTCCTTTTTGTTGGCCACATGCCTTGCTCCTGGTCTGCAAGTGACCGAATGGCAGATTCTTCAGGAACTCAGCGAAGAGCAAGAGCAACATGGAGAAAAACCAGAAACAGGTGCAGTGGGCGCCACATGTGAAAAAGAATCAAGCACACTGCGGTGTTTCCAAAAAAGTGTGCAGAAAAGGGCACCGCATTTGGCAGGGAACATCGTGCAGCTGTCAATGGACGCCCCTAAACCTCAGGCACGAAGCGAGTTATTGATTCTTGATCGCACCTGCCGCAAGAATTGTTCTTGTTCAGGATGTTCTAAGCCTAAGCAACCTCCATTTAGCGGGTTCAACGGCTACATCAGGGAGAGTGCACCTGGTAGAAACTTGTTCTGATCAAGTGTATTTGTGCCAAGGCGCAACCAAAACCTGAGATGAAGGCTTCAAAGAAGCAGGTTGCTTACCGGTCAGCACATGGCTTGTCATCCACCACAGTACTGTTGGAGCTGAGGCTGGCCCCAAAGAAAACCTCACAGGTGTGACATGAAAAGCCTTGCCTTTTGCAAACATCGATTCTAAAGCTTCCAGACATCAGACAGGTGGAGGCCATGGCCACGCAGCCTTTGCAGCGTGTCTGGACACATAGGAGTCTCTATTGCATCATGTTGCCTGAAGAAGCCCTGCTACTAACGAGAAGCTAGTAGGAACAAAGGGCATCGCTACTAGGAGCAAAGGACGCTACTAGGGGCTCCTGGCATCGCTACTAGGAGCAAGAATGGGCATGGACCAACTTTGGTCATTTGGGTCTTCAGGTCCACGTGGAGCGGACTGCCGATATTGAGGCCTGCAGTAGTTGAACTCTCAAAGTATCAGAAAGACCATGTCTTCCCCGCAGGAACAACGAACTCGGTTGCCAGCTGTCATGATGGAGATGCGAACTCAGCTGTGAATAAAGTAACGTGTATTGGGTTGTAGTAGCGTCTAGTAGTGAAGCCAGGAGCCCCTAGTAGCGTCCGTGCTCCTATATTGGGTGCTTGTTTTCAGACAAACCAGCTGAAATGATATATACTGCGAATTGGAGGCAAGAATTCGTCGAAATGCTGCTGAGCAATGATGTCATGTTGGCCTTGGGCCCAACGACGGGCCGAACGACCCTAGAGGTTCTAGCAGCGTCCTTGCTCCTAGTAGCAGTGCCCTTTGTTGCTAGTAGCGTCCTTGTTCCTAGTAGAAAGGCCAGGAGCTACTAGTTGCGTCCTTGGGTTGACCGTTTGTCTCAGCACTTTTTTCTTGGCCTGAGAGCGAGCTGGTCCTTTCTTCCCAGGTTTGTGGCGACACCGGCTGCGGCAAATCCACCCAGGCATGAATGCCAGAGATAGTAAGTAAGTGCTGACAAGAAACTCATTCAAACAGGTTACCCAAGAGAAAGGGAGAGAAAGAAGCACACAGCACAGGGTTTTTCTGTTCAAGTAACTTCTTTTAGAGCTGTTTGCCCAAGTTTTGTTTCAGTGTTTGCAGGTGCCGCAGTTCCTTTACGAGCAGGGGCCTGTGGTTTTGTGGTGTGACCGTGTCATGAGAATGCAATGCTGGATAGTCTCGATCAGAGAGCATGCGCTTTTTGGGTCAGCTCGAAAAACACCATCTTACATAATGAAACATAATCACAAACAAATCCATGTGACTTTGCCAAGCTTGTATCACGCATTTCTTGCCAGCAGTTTGTGGTAATTTTTGGCATTGGGCATCAGGTCCTTTGCTTTCAAGTTCAACTCCTTTGTTCCTTAGATAGTTCATGCCAATGCATGTTCCAACTTGTCTGGATTTTCTGTAGCATGAAGCAAGTGCAACCGCAATCATGTGCGCTGTTCTGCCACTTGCTGCTGCCTTTGCGCCTCTGCCACGGCTGGAAGATGCCGAGGCGCTCTTTGCTCCATACCTTCCGTGTTCTCCTGCTCAGCTGAGACGGATATATCTTCAGTTGGCCTTGCGCTATCATCCCGACAAATGCCAACACACCCCTTTGGGGCAGAAAGAGGCAACGGAACTCTTTCAGGCCATTGCAGCCGTGTACGAGCAGCTGCTGAAGCCAGAGCCTGGGGAAGCTGTTCGCCGAGTGAAAAGCCGAGTTGCAGCTGCGGCGGAGCTCGGAGATCTGGAGGAATTGGATCGTCTCCTTGTTGAAGATGCAGGAAGAGCCGTAGAAGTTGATGATTTAGGTGTTTGTCCTTTGATGTTTGCAGCAGCTGGCGGTCAAGTGGATGCAATGGAAATGCTGGTGTCTTATGGTGCAGATCTGGGGGCCAAGAATCCAATCAACTGGAGTGTGCTGCTATACGCAGCCCTGGGGAATCATTCAGAGGCAGTGTGTTGGCTTGTAAAACATGGATTGAAAGTCACCGAGCACGAGCTGGTTCTCACAGCTTATACGGGGAACTCAATCAGCCTGGCCGCATTGCTAGAGCTCTATGAGGTGGGCCAGGTCTACCAGTACATGCTGACCTAGTTTTATTCCCCAGCAGCGAAGCTTTAGGGGTCTTCAGCCATAGTATATAGACTTCGGAGCAGATTGGAGAAACCTTCAGAGCAGGTTCTGGAGCAGGTTGCGGAGGAGGTTCCGGGCAGGTTCCGGACGAGGTTCTGGAGGAGGGTTCTGGGGCAGGTTTCCACGGAGCAGGTTCGGAGGAGGTTGCGGAGGAGGTTTTCGGAGCAGGAATTGGTTCCGGAGCATGGTATTCCACTCAAACCATGCCAGCACTTTTGTGATATTAATTGTGCTTGCCTTTTTTGGCGGCCAGATGGCGTTCCGCAGTATTGCAGCAATGAGTGTGGTGATGTTGGTGGGTTTCGTGGAAGGACCTGAGCCGCCCGGGAAAAGGTAGGCTATGCATCAGCGTGCAGCTTGATGGCTTGTGGCGTAGTTTTAACCACGCGCATCATGCTTCTAGCTGTTGGGGATGTGGCTTGGGCTTAATATGGTTTGCTCAACTTTAGTCCATCTTCCTCGTTGCTGTAATTTCTATGCAGACTTTGTTTCCCGTTTTCAATTTCAGAGTTGGAAGGCACATTTCTTTAGACACGTGGCCGCCCTGAACCTGTGGCGGCTTGTGTCTGTCAGGGCTCCCTGGCAGACTTGCACACGGAAAGCGGGAAATCACTACTCCACTTGGCTTGTGAAGGCCTTTGCTTTCTTAAGCGTTCTGCGGGGGAACACTTGCAGTGTGTTGAGTACTTGCTCGACAAAGTTCCAGTAGACCAAGCTGAGCCGAAGAGTGGGCGAACATGCTTGCAGAACTATGAGTTTTGCTTTGCATTGGCATTGTTTTTTTTTACGTTCTTTGTGTTCCCTCACAGGATGCCGCTAGGCGAATTCGCAAGAGCAACATTGATCCAAACATGTTTTTTTGGGGACCTGCCAGTCCTGAGGTGGAAGACGTCCGCTGGCGCACACGAAATTTTGAGGCTTCATCAGCACACTTGTTAGCTTTGGACCGCCTTTGTGAAGCAGGATGGTTTCTTGATTGTCGACACCATAATTTCATTTTCAAGTTCAAAAATGGGTTCTGAATTCACGCACGCGTATTAGCATATTGATGGTAGTTTTTTCCGTCCATGAAAAGCTGTGCCCCCTAAGAGAGTCGTGCTGTGCCGCTTTGGCCCTTTAATTTTTGAGGAGCCAGTGTGACACGGGAAGATTTCGAAGGAAGAAGTGCTTTGTCCATTGCTGAAGCGCAAGGCTTGCCCACAATGCGGCAATTGCTGTTCTCATACATTTGAATCTTCGCTCCTGGGAGGCTTGAAACAACTTGGCTCAGTTTACACAAAGAGCTTTTAAAAAGTCCCCAATTCGCTTGGCCTCCCAAGAGAGCCTCTGAAGACATTTGGCTGGATAGGAATGCATGGTTTCCAATTTTCACTGCCGTTTCGTTGCTTTGGCAGACCACAGCATTTGCGTTTTCAAAAGCGTTTCCCCGCGCAAGACGTGTTAGGCGAATCTTCCAATTTTTGTGAATCTTTAGGCTGCACATGGCTACGTGCTTTTCAAAAAGCCTGTTCTGGAATTGTTTTTGTGATTCGATGGCGTGGTCAAACCCAGGTGTGGCATTTGCAATGGAAAGGACTTCCTCATAGGTGTTACACAACCTCGCAGGGCAGAAACCCAAGATGCCGTGGTGTTTGCAATGCAAATGACAAGAAATGTATCAGAAGTGGATCGGTATAACAGTAACAAGAGCCGCCATTGGTTCCAGGTTGCTGCTATCTCTGTCTCGCAGACAGGTCCTAAGGAGCCAGACTCCAAATCAAACTTGAGCCACGTGTCTACTCAGGCGAGTGGGACAAGAATTGAATGAGTCCGGCAAGGTTGGTTATCAGGAGCCGATCACTTTGGCATGTATCGAGCACGCCAATTCTTTGCCTTGCTTTGCTTGCTGTCATGGGCCCTTTGACGCAGGTCCGCTACGACAGGAGCAACTGCACAGAGGATATGCGGATCAAGTTTATGACCGATGGTATACTTCTGCGGGAGGCCAGGCTATTGTGGTTCGCAATAAGTGAACTGCCAAGCTCCTGTATTCAGGTCCAGGCTGACTTCCTTTGTCGAAAGTACACTGCAATCGTAATCGATGAGGCCTTGTCCACGTCATTTGTTTCATTGAGATGCTTTGACATTTGATCTAGCAATTGGGTTGATGCAGACAACCTGCTTGAATCTCCAGGCTCATGAAAGAGGTGTGTGGCCGGCAGGGTTGCTCACAAACACACGGCTTGAGGGTGACCTCACCTTGGCCCATCGCCAGGTCAACTGCGACATATTGATCGGCCTCCTTTCCCGGGCAGTTCATCAACGCCGCAAGGCCTTTCAGGAGGCCAAGAAAATGCACTACCTCCAAAGAGTTACTAAGTCAATGCAGGCAAAAAATCTAAATGTATGTATTTATATAATAGAAAGGACCATGTTCCCTTCCTTTTTGATTTGTTTGAAGATTTTGCCTTTTTTTGGTATAGACAACCTTTAGACCTTTTGACACTTTGATAATCATCTTTTACTGTTTGAATCTGTCGCTTTCTTGGGAACTTGATGTGACTTGACAGGCTGTTGCCGCTGGGCGTTTCAACAAGGACCCAGGCGCGCTGCTGCTCACTCCTTCGCTGCTGGCGTCATGTTCGGAAAAAGGTACGGCACGAAGCGCAGATGAACCACCGCCACCTTTGAAGTTGGTATTTGACTCAACTTATTTTACTTAGCTTGTTGCGCGTCACGCCTTGCGACTTGAGGTGATCATGTCCGCGACCTTGAGGCTCTGTGATTTCACGGAGAATCAGCAGCCAATGCCTTGGGATCTCAATCGCGCAGCGATTTTCCGTGCGATGCCTTGCAGCTTGACATTTCTCAAGGCTTTTTCCAGTCCCACCGCCCGTGCTTCGCATTGATGCACGAACCTTTCCGGTTCCGGGCTCGGCGCATTGTAAGACCACATGAGGGAAGAAGCGGAAAAGGGAAGATGTCGAAAGTGCCCAGGTGACGGTGCATTTTGAACGACGAACTGAAGAGGATTACATCAAGGCGTGTTTAGGATGGAGGCTACTAGGGGCTCCTGGCATCGCTACCAGGAGCAAGGACGCCACTAGGGGCTCCTGGCATCGCTACTAGTAACAAGAAGCTACTAGGGGCCATCGCTAGGAGGCCATCGGTCCGGGTGCTCTGGGTGCGGCTTTTCGGTGCTTTTGGTTAGGCTGCACACCGATCAGCCTCCTGGCAGAATTCCCTTAAGCAAACTTGTTTTCCTGTGTTGCTTGGTGGTGCGTGTTGAAACTTCGATCCTAAGGTATGGAAGATACACAAAGACCTGCCTCCAGGGAGCATTTTGGCACGCCTCCTACGGCACACAAATTGTGGTTCCTTGTGGCTGGTTTTGTCAAACCCATTTCCCTTGCAAGGTGTTCGTCACAGGAAGGCAGGAAGTTCATCGTTTGTGCAGGCCAGTCTTCGAGTTTGTAGTTCAAGTGCTTCAGGTGCTTTGAGGTTCTGAGGTTCGGAAGTCGCGTGTGATGTTTGAGCCAAGGATGCTGCAACAGACGCAGCTCCTCACGTTCAACAGCGGTAAGGCCTGAGCTCCTTATGTGCCGTTTTGGGACACTGAAGCCGCCTATTTACAAACACCATGCATCATATGAGTCATATGTATACTTGAGGCACTTGAGGAAGCAGCGGCAGAGGTTGCAGAGCAGGAGGCATCACATGCTAGTTTTGGAGTCTTTCAGCACCTCCACGGCTTCGACCACGGAGGGCAAGACAGCAGATTTGGACTTAGAAGCCTCCGATGATGAGGGAAACCTGTCGGAGTGCGGTGCTCAGTCGAGTTTTCAAGATCAGAAGTTGCGGCATATCTGAAGCCTTGCACGGACGGAGCCAAGACATGGGGTCAGACAGGACACGAAAAGAGCATTGACATCTCTTTTTCTTGGATTTTACGCATGTGTTTGTCTCGTGTTTCTTAGCCGGGTGTTGAGGCCGGAGTTGGAAGAAGCTGCAAGCCTATACACTGCATTGAAGGGCACGGATGGTGTTCAAGATGCCATCTGTCAACAGCTGACTTGACTGTCAACAGCTGAGGGGAATGAAGGCAAGATAGGTGACGCTGGCAGGCACTTCATAGCCTTGCAGTGTGGCTGCAAGATAGGTTCTTGATCTTTTTCTTTCCACAAGCATTTTTGAGTTGTGCTTGTGGGTCCGGTGCAGGCTGAAAAAGAAGCTGAAGGGTAAGCGCAAAAAGAAAGCGTTGGACACGCCCGGGCATCAAGCTGCAGGGAAAGGTGGAAGAAGGGAGGCTTCAGTTTCTCTAAAGATCTAGGAACCAAATGATTACGTAGTGCGAATGCTTCTTCAAGGAAGATCCCGCCCTCAGGTCAATTAAGTAATTCAACACTGCTTAACTTCATAGCAGGAGATGTGAAGTTCTAGCAGGTGCCTCGCTAGTAGTAACAAGAAGCCATTAGACACAAGTGCCACGCTAGTAACAAGTGCCTTACTAGTAGTAACAGGAAGCTATAGCTATTGGAGATGCCCAGGTCTGGAGATGTGAAGGTGGAAGGTGTGGCCGATAGCATCAAACCAGGCCTCCGGATACAAGAGCATGAAGTGAATGAAGTGTCACCACATCCGAGTGGAAGTGATGGAATTGGTCAGGTGCAAAGCGAAAGCGAACGAACGAGAAGGCCGGCAAGGAGCCAGACACCAGATAGCCACTGGTATTAAAAGGGAGTCCACGCCAGGAAGAGGCCACCCAAGACATTCCGGATGAGGCTTGGGATTGAAAGAGCACAACGCAATGATGGCTTGATAGTTTTGGAGGCTACTAGTAGCTCCTGGCCTTACCACGCGGAACAAGAAGCTACTAGTAACAAAGGGCCTCGCTACTAGGAGCAAGGACGCTACTAGTAACAAGTGCATCGCTTCTAGTAACAAGTGCCTTACTAGTAGTAACAAGAAGCTACTAGTAACAAAGGGCATAGTTTTGGATATTTCCACAGCTGTTTCTTTGTGACGTGAGATGCCGGAGCTCTCCTTTGCGGTGGGTGAAGAAGACGTCGTGGTGTTGGAGGGAGAGGTGCGACCTGGCCGTTTTGCATGGCACGAGGACGAAGGACGCCTGTCGCCTTTGGAACCTCAGGCCGCCACAGCTGCCGAGGATGCAAAAGACATTGAGCTTCGCAACCAGAGAAAGGTAAGAATGTCCAGGCTACAACAAGAGCTACTGCTATGATTCAGATCTAATTTTTGCAAACGTCAAGGTTGCCGCTTTCCACTTCCGGTCTTTTCAGGCTGGATAAATCGAGGACAGCGGGGGGTGTCTTCAAAGGTGTAGGCTTTGGAGAGGGGCTGGACCCTCAGTCACTCAGTGTGCTGTGCAGATAGGTCAAGGTGTTTGTCAAGAATGCCATGGGATGCCATAGAATGTCATCAGGCAAATGCGGGTTTTGCCACTCTATGCTCAGTCGGGGCCTTGGAGGGCAGTGCTCTTGGCCAGAGGCATGATTGCTGTTATTCATCGTAAGTGGTGTGGCTGTTCCAGAAACTGTAGTGTTTGAAGAATTTGTGGCTCAAGAGCAGTTAAAGCACTACGATAACTCAAACATGACCTCTGCGTGAGTTGTGCGAAGCCTTGCCTCAGAACTCCGATCTTTAAGTGTCTTTCTTTTCTTGTCTCGTCCCTCTTCTCTGCCCCTTGCCAATGGAATTTGGAGCGATGAATGAATGGAGGGAACCAGCTTGCCTGGTCAGATTCTTCATAGAGGGCGGGACCCTTGGTGCGTGTGCGGACTGCGCGGGCTGCGCGGGCTGCAGGGTCGAGGTCGGGGCCAGTTCCTCACAGGTGGGTCATGTGGATCCTTGGTCTTGCGCGCATTGGGCGTCCCAACGAACATGCCGCTCGCCGCCTTGCTGCCTGAGATCGCTGCTTTGCTACGCCGGGGCCCCTATGTCCGAATTGAGGACGCGGAGACCGTGCTTCGGCCGGTGCTGGACTCCTGGTGGTGGAAACCTCAATTGGCAACCCAAGCCTTGAAGACCTTGGCCACAGCAGGATTTCCAAACACTGCTAGTCAAGTGCTGGAGGTGCTACGGCGGAATAATATTGGTCCGACCTTAATTCAGTATAACGCGGCCATACACGCATCCAGCAAACATGGCCAATGGGTTGCAGCCCTGTATCTAGCAAACTCTATGCAGATTGACTATGTGATGCCAGACTTGACAACCTGCAATTCAGCTATGAGTGCCTGCGACTGGCAAATCGTCTGCCAATTCCTTCGAAAGATCCAGGAGTTCGATTTGATCCCTGACAACTTTTCTTTCAGCTTGCTCACTAGAGCTGCACTGAAAGTCGCAAGAAAGCAGCAGAGCTGGCGGCTAGCAGTGCAATCTTTAGAGGTGCTTTGTCGAAGAAAAGGGGTTTCCGGGCTTCTGTGGTTCCTTAAGGGAAATTGTCAAATGGTCAGTCCTTCTCCATACAGAGTCTTGTCATTTTCCGGAGCACCCGGCCCAGGTCCAAACAAGATACATGTATCCAAACGTGGTGAGCCGCAGTGCTGCCATTAGTGCCTGTGCTGCTGCGAGCTCATGGAGATTTGCATTGCAAATCTTCGATGCTTCACCAGATGCAAATGCGATCACCTACGGTGGGGTGTTGAATGCTTGTGACAAAGGCTCGCAGTGGAACTGCGCAGTTGCTGCTCACTGAAAGAGCCAGAACATTTTGATGGTTCCTCCCATGAAAGAAAGGGATACGAACAAAGGAAGGTAAGGCCCCTTCAAAGGGGCCTTACCTTCCTTTGTTCGTATTTTTATGTTTTATATATCATATTTCTCATGTTGTCCCATCAGCTTGATTGTTTACTGTCTCACCTGCCGCTACTCCGAAGGACATTTTTAGAAGGATCAACACTGCAATGCAGATACGCAATCCGATTCTCTGCAATTCTTTGATCAGTGCTTGTTCAGCTGGCAGTTGCTGGGAGCGTGCACTTGCTTTGCTGGAGCATATGGCATTGGTTCTGGTTGAGCGAGACCTGTTTAGCTTTTGTGGTGTTGCCAAGGCATGTGGTGAAGCTGGGAAGTGGGAGCGGGCACTTGCAATCCTGGCGTCAGTGGAAGAAGTTCGGCTCAAGGTCAATCCAGTGATGAGCAGCACGGTTGTCAGTGCTTGTACGCAAGTCAGTCGCTGGGAAGCAGCGCTTATCTTGGTAACATCGGAGCTTCGGATTGCCAACCAGTGGAGCTTCAGTGCAGCCATCACTGCCCAGAAATCGTGGACACGGGCACTGCGACTTTTTCACCTGATCCAGTCTGTGTCTGTAGAGACTGACCTTCCCTGCCGCAATGCGTTGTTCTTGGCCTGTCAGGGGCCAAGGCGTTGGCAGCATGCACTGATGAGTGTGCAAAAACGTGTTGGAGGATGACCCCCAGGGCCCCAGAGATCTTGGTAACAGTCTCAGTGTGACATTTGTTCCGAACCCTTTTGGATTGAAGGTTATCTGCAACGAAGCAGCTGGAGCCCTTCAAGCATCCACCGGAGAACCAACGAGTGGCTGGAAACTCAGCTGTGCTACTGGACATGCCAACTGTGGCACATGGCATTTTCACACTATCAGTCACTATCACGACTGCTGAGGTCGTCATATCAACGAATGTGGCGGAAACATCGGCGGAACTCCAAGCTGTGCCAAACATGACCGACGTATGTCCACACATGCCTTGCCAGTCTTAGGTTACACTTCCGAATGTGTCTCCACCTGAGCTGCACCGTGAGCTGCGCGAGAACTTTCGTTTCCCCTTTGGCTGGACATGTCCATGAAACATCATGAAACCGCCAGTAGGTTGGAGGTCATCGCTAGTAGGTTGGAGGCCATAAGTGCAGGCGCTATGTGGTGGACTGCGGGCGTGAGAAGCGCCGCCGGAGGGCAGCTCAGATTGCTTTGGTCTTTGGAGAACTGGCGGTGTCTCTGACGCGTCAAAATCATTCGACGGATTCCCGGTGACTTAGTTGGCTCATTATGCAAGGAAAGTGAGCTGCCAATCTTGAACAGTTTGCTGCACATTCACCCACACTACCCATTTCTCCACATGTGAGAGCAGTGGTAGGAATGCAGGAGTGACAGAACCCCTTTTAGTTGATGCAGATGGCTATGCCAGTGCCACTACTCACCAATGTCGGATCGAATGAATGCGGAAGCCGATCCAGAGCTCCAAGCAGCTCGAGCTGCGCTGAGCCTGGAGGGAGGGTCCTTGCAGCGCTATGCAGTTCGATTGTCAGAGGTTGTGATGCAACAGCATGCAGCACGGAAGAAGGATTGGACCAGTTGGCAAGCAAAAGAAGATGAGTTGAACGATGAAATTCGCAGTCTCAGGCATGAAATGCATGCTGAGCAGCAAGAAAGAGATCAAGCCATGGGGCGCGAAGTGCTTTTGGAGCAAGAGCTTCGAGCGGAAAGACGCCGACGGATTGACCTCGAAGCACAGGTGACCCTCGCAGACTCTTGGAAGGCACCGGACGGGGTAGACTTTGACACCAGTCTTTGGATGAAAGGAACTCTTGAAAGAAAAGAAAGGAATAACGGCAGTTTGGTTTGTACTAACTAGTCCTCCAACCTAATAGTGATGGAGTCCAACCTTGTAAATCTTTGACCGAACTTTTCGACTTAAGTTGTTCTAATCCCGTGTTAGGCAGAGGCAGCTGCGGCAGATCGAGCCGCCCGAATGTCGAGCTCCAACGCGGCCTTGGCTGCCAGCGCCGAGAGCGAAGCCGCGCGCGAGTGGAAGCGACAAGCTGCCGAAGCGCGGCGAGGCGAGGCCAAGGCCATGGCCGGACAGCACCGGGCAGAGTTGGCAGCGCAACAGGCACGGAAAGAATTGAACTCTCACTTAGAGGAGAGGGAACAGCAGTTTAGCCAAAGGGTCAAGATGGCTCGTGCTAGCGAAGCAGAAGTGCTTGCGGAAGCTTGGCGCATGTCAGGGGAATTGCGCAGTGAGCTTGACGCAGTGAGGTCTGGGGATGCTCAAATCGGGCAAGCCAGTGACAGCAGTGCAAGGCAAGCTTTGCAAGACCTTAGAGAGCTGCGCCAGCGCTACAACGACATGCTGGGTTGAGATGAACTGATTCACAACTTCTGTCGTTTGATGGATGCCAGTGCAGACAAAAGCTTGCGGCGAATGCTGCATGATTCTGATTGTCAGACGGCCTTTCTAACACAGACTCGGAATAAAGTACATATGGTCGGAATGCCACTTGCCCAAACGTCTAGGTGAAAAAAGTTCCTGGCCAAAACGAGTGCAAAGGAGTCCAACCATGAAACGTCTCAAAAGTCTCAATGGCCCCAAAATGGTAAAGTCCAAAGTTTCATAGAAAAACGGAAGCTGCATGTCTGCCGACCTACCTCCACCTAAACAGGTTGAAATTAGACTGGAGCGCAGTGATCAATACTCACAAAATTCAAGCAGGGAACGTCACGGTGATCAGCCGTGATATCCGCATGTACCGTGGCCGCTTCGTTGGACCATCGCGCGCAGTACGTGCATGGTCCTTCTGCATTAGAAGCCTAAAGGCCCCCTCTGATTCCATGAGTTACACACACAGATGCATCACTTCAATGCCGCTTCACTGTATATTGAGGCTGGCATGGGGGAGAGAGAGCGAGACAGAGAGATGTATTATAGCTTTGCTTGTCACTTCTCACCAAGCTCAGGTATAAGGCTTCTTCTGGTGCCTCAGCATTTGCCATTGACAGGCGGTGAGTCAAGACGTGTAAGCATGGCAAGACCGGGAAGAGTACACAAGAGAATCCGTCATGCATTCCACATGCCATGCAGTATTCTCATGACTCATGGCACTGGCAAAATAACACAGGTTGCAACAGCTCAAGAAGAGTGGCCAAGCACATATTTGTATATTTGCTAGTATCGTGTCAGAGGTAATTGGAATCCAGGAGCCTAGGAACAGTCGCGAGGTTCTTCAAGGAGCTTCACTCAAGAGAAGCGCATTGCACGTTGTCGTGGCAGGATTTCAAAGGCATCCGCAGACCAACGAGCTGGTCGGGCCTTGGCCTTGGTTCTGGTGGGGCTTTAGGCTTTGGGGGTTTCTTTGTCTCCATCTCTACCTCCCCCTGACCAGCCATGCAGGCCTCAAAAGATTTGCCCTTGTGCACCCGCCCCTGCCATGGCACGGCCATACGTCCGATCAGAAAGAGATTGTGGGAGTTGAAAAACGTAAAGTTGCAGGGCTCCTCACCAAAGCAATGGCTTTCAAAGAGTCGGTTATTTCCTGACCCGTGTGGCCTATTTGTGGGCGGACTTTTTGAGTGTAGCCGCCTACGCTTTTCCAGAACTTGCCAACGAGCAAATTTGCAGAGCGTTCTGTCTGAGTTTGATGAGCTCGCAAAGGGTGACAACTCTGCCAAAGCTGTCGAGCGTTTCCACGACGTTTTCCCTTCTTTGCCCAAGACGTACCAGAAGGCGCCAGTATTGTGGAATAGTGTTCTGGCGACATTCTCGAATGCCGGAGATTTTGAGGGCGCCCTGATGTGGTTCAACAAAGCCAGGGATGCTGGCATCCAAGCGAATGCACGGGCCTTTGGCAAAATGATGGAAGCTGCTGCTCGTGCAGGGAGGCCAGACTTGGCAAAAGAGTGGCTGGAGAGGCTTGAGAGCACAGGCGGTGACTACAACCCAACAGCTGTCAGCATTCTGCTATACGCATTTGCCTCTGTTGATAGAGTTGAGGAAGCCGATGAGGTCTTGCGGCAGAAAATTAGTCGAGGTTATATAAACCTCATTGATTACAATACCGTGGCGGAGGCGTATGCCAAGAGAGGAGAACCTTCGAAGGCCTGTGAAAGGAAACCAAAGCTCGGTTCTCCAAGTTCGTTCGCTTTTGCAATTTCCTGTGGAAAAGTATATAGAACTATTTTTTTTGGTGGGGACTTTGTTCAACGCTTTCAGGTAGTCCAGCTCTTGAAGGAAGCGGAACTTGCAGGAGAAGCCTTAGATGCGACATCCTATACAGCTCTGATTACCGCACATGCGCGGGGTAGTCAAATAGATGCCGCCGCAGCGAGCTTGCACTCCATGCAGTCAGCTTCGTTGCAGCCCGACCTCATAGCACACAACGCTCTTGTGAATGGATACTGCAAGGAAGGCCAAGTGAAAGAGGCCAGGCTACATTTGCAGAGCATGATTCAGTCCCAACTCGAAGTGGATGCCTTATCTTTCACGCCCATTGTGCAAGTTTGCGCGAACTCTGGCTCTCTGCGGGATGCATTGAATTGGCTAGAAGCCATGCGCAACCACAAGGTTTTGCCCGACATAGCCGCCTACACCACTGTGCTGGATGCATGCGCGAAAAGCGACCAAGTCTCTGATGCAGAGGTTGCTGTGCAAGTCTTTGAGTCTCTGAGCAATGCACGGGTGCACCCAGACACCGTGGCGATGAACACTCTGATCAATTGCGCAGCGAAATGCGGAGATGGCAATGCGGCATTGAAATTTTTGGAGGAGATGAAAAAAGTGGGCAAGCATGGAGAGTACAGAGCAAAGCCCTCTGTGCAAACCTACACTTCTATGATTAAAGCTCTTGCAAACCAGCAGGAAATGGACTTAGATCAAGCATTCAAGCTTCTTGAAGAAGCAATCTCTCTTGGTCTGTCGCCTGATCTGATCCTTTATAACGTTCTCCTTTCTGCATGTGCCAAAGCACGTGATGCGAGAAGAGCACAACAAACCTTTCAGCGGCTATTGGCGCAAGGCTTAAGACCCGACGTGCACAGCTATACCGCTCTACTACATGTGTATGCTGCCATCGGAGATGTGGAAGGGGCGGCAGATCTTATAGCCGAAATGCAAGAAGTGGGCGTGAAACCCAACAAGTTTACTTGGGCAGGGATGCTCAAGGCATGTGAGAGGGCCAAGGACTCTGTGTGGGCTTGCGTCACTTTGCGCCAAATGGCTGCCCTTGGTGCACAGACAGATGAGTTGATTTTGAAACGATTCGAACGGATTGTCGGCTCTGAACTTGCTAGACAAGTGATGCCCAAGACGTCGAGCCGCCGCATCTCACTGAGACCATGACACATCTTGGTCGTATCGAGGACTCCTCTGAAGGCCAAAGGAAGCGAAAAAGGTGGCCATGCAAACCTCATACATCATCATACCCCTCTGGCTACTCGAGCCCAAAAAACTTTTTCAATGTTCTTTATCTTTTTAAATCTTTCCCTTTCCCCTCAGCGTGAAAACCAACACTGGCCCTGAGTCTGTGCTTTCCGGTGTTGGGAAATTCCGTGCGGCCAGAGTAGACCGGGCATGATGAGGCCGGCCGACTGGGCCCAGGACACTCATATCGCTGGCCACCAAGCAAACAAGTCCTGAGTCTGTCTAAAAGGGATGTCTAGTAGCGAAGGCCAACCTAATAGCAAAAGGGACCTACTAGCGATGGCCTCCAACCTACTAGTGAACACCAGAACAAAACAAGCCGACGAGTTAAACTGAAGTTTTAGACTCTAGGACTCTAGGACCTGTTTTGGGATCATTGTGTGCGTTTTAAGAAGTATGTTGCTTTGAAGGTTTGTATTCCTCAGCGGCCTATGAGAATTACTTCCCCAAGTTCGCGCCAATGGCTTAAGTCTGAGTTTTCTTGTTTTTTCACCTGTGGGTTTTCGATGAAGGCCCTTGCAGATGCTCCACACGCCAATGGATCCAGTGCTGCCAAGCTGGCTGCTTTCCTTACTCTTGACTTTTGTCATATGCGAAGTCAATTACGTTTCCCGTTCTGAAGCTGCTGGGAGCTTTGCACGATCCTCTCCGCAGCTTTTTGCCCGAAGCCACTCAGCTTCTGGGCCAACCTTACACTGCACCTCAGTTCAGCTTCGGCAGCGTTTTTCTTTTTGATCTAGGTGGATGCCATCGCTATTAGGTTGGAGGCCATCCCTACTAGTAACAAAAAGCATTTTCTGCTCCTCCTTTTGGCTTGGGGATGAGCTTAGAAGTCTTCCAGCCAGTCAGCTGGCCTCGCACGCGGCCGGCTGAATGGCAAGGTACCTTACCAATCCATCATTCAACTCTACATCACGCTATGCTCTTGCCCAGCCCTGAGTTATACAGAAGCACTGGACAACGCATTACAAAACAATGCAATTCCAAAGTCTTGTAACAAACTAGGATTAGATACTTATTGGCTGTGCTGGCGGTCGTCCTGATGGCAGCGGAAGCCAGCACAGAACCCGGGTGTGAAGGGGGCACGGAGAAGCTTGGATTTGTAAAGGCCTGCTGTCGTTGCAATAGGGTTGAAAAAATCGAAAGACCAAGTTCACTCAGTTTTTCAAACTCATGCTTGCCACGGATCTGAGGAGTGCAGAGAAAGCCAGTCTGGTCCAGCGCAACCGGAGTTCCTCCAAAGTAATGCTCACTGAGGACCTATCACAAGTGTTCCTTGACTTGGTTGTGGTATGTTGTGGTCAACTCTGGAATACATGTAGATACCTAGTTTTACATTTTTACGGTTTTCTTTTTGTTCTGAGACATGTGCATCTTTGTTCTGCAAAAAAGTCCTAAGATGCAATGGGCTGGTCAAGGCGTGGGCAGAGCTTCCTCGAGCTACAAGAAGCTGGAAAGTCCTCCTCCATGGGCAAACACATGGTTCTGGCCCTCACTGCTGCTATACCCGAAGAGATCGCCTTCCCTTTCGAGATTTTGCTTCCCATTGCATTCATCCTTGCACTGCTGGGCTTGTGTGTGGTGACCAATCGATCTGAGCCGGACGCTTTCCTTCTAAAGCCAGCTACGGACTCGCCTGCTCCGCGCACTCCACTCATGTTCTCACAAAGCCCGCCCCGAGCCAGCCGACCGCATGAGCTGAGCCAAACAAACCCCACATCAAGCTCACCCACTCGGGAATCGTTGATCTGCTTATGCCCGAGCTTGGTGGTGCCAGAGAGGGTAGAATGCACTATTCTTGTGCCTCAGGTGGCTGCCCTCAAGTCCAAAAGTATCAAACCCCTTTGTGACATCGGTGGCGGCACTATTTTCGAGCTAGAGGTTTTCCCTGAGAAGAACATTGATGGTGTGAGGCCTGGATCCAAGCTGAATTAAGCAATATTTCTTTTTGTGTGGTCACTGTAGCACAGGTTGGTTGTGCCTATTCATCCCATATCCGTTTGCGCTGCTTGACTCCTGGCTTCCAAGGCTCATTTTGCACAGCCCATCTCGAGGCAGAAAGTTTGCTAGCTGCCGGAATGCTGCGACGGCTTCGGGAAGAGGATTTACCTTGCAGGGCCAGGCCTGTTGGTAATTATCATGAAAGGCTTGCAAAGATCGTGAAGGGACAAGGGACTTATCCTTTAGGCTTGCGTCAGATCGTTTGTTTTGGGGGCACATTTGTGACATGTGGAAGTGGCCAATTTGGCCGGAGGACACGGCGCATCAAGCCCAGCTTCACTCAGCTGATAGTGGATGCTTCGTCACAGCTCCAAGCAGACAGTCCATCCGCCGCCTGCAAAGAGGGAACTGGGCACTTGTCGGTCTATTACTATATTATTACTTGATTAATCTTGATTATTATTGTTATATATATAATATTAATCTTGATTA